TGGGGGAAGGTATCTAGCTGCTAGTTATGCCATCGTATTATTAGTCATTGTGCACAACTGGGACACCACAACTCCAAATCACAGACCAGAAACACAGTGCTTTCTTTAAACAAAATACATAACTTCTGTGTGAAAAAAAGTTGGGAAAAAATCATGAGAACTATCCATCTCCATAGCTATCATATGCATAAGAACTATTTGCTTTACAGAGCTCCAGTTTATTCAAAATACTGAATGTAATACTTAGTCTCCTTATGCATCAAGTACAAATCAGAGAAAAACCCTGCCCCAAAACACTTCATTTTCAACCACAAAACATTGCCAGAAATCTTGTATTTGCAACACAGTTACCTGGTGTTGCAGTTAACATATTAATTCTGCAGACAACAGTCACAAGTACTTACTAAAAATACAGATATGTTTCTTAAAAGTAAAGTGAAGCTTTATTTAAGATGACAAAGCTTTTGTAACAGTGCAGGGTGCAAATTTTCGGTATGAAGACTTTCAGAAGATTTGCTGCTCAAAGAGGATCTTTTCAAACCCTTGTGGAGGCGTATGATAAAATTCACTGAACTGACAATCCAGAATGGCACTGTCATCAACTGCAGAAGAGAACCAAACAGAAGGAATTAGAGGAGGAACACTTAGAGTTTGATCCTCTATTACACTATCTTACTAGATGCTCAAGCCATGAAGAATATTCTCCAACACATCCACTACATATATACAAGAGAATTAAAAGAAATCTCTTCAAGAAATTTGCTCAAGCCCTACACACTTACCCAAGGAGAGCAAGTCATCTCTCTTTTCTGCTGTTTACTTTAGTCGGTAATGGTCCTTGGTAAAGTCAATGGGAATGCTACCTCTGATTCCACTGGGAGTGTCAGCAGCGCTTCAGGCAATTCCCTCCAAATTTTCTACTCTGTTTCTCCAGAAATCTACAGATTAAGGACACTACCAGATACATATGGCAGGGCTGTCACCTCTTCAGCTGCATATTTTTCTGTCCCCTTCCTAATTCTGCTGGAGTGTCAGCTGTCTGCAATGATTTTTCTGGAGTTTTACAAGGTTTCAGATGTCTGCAATGGTTGGTGTCAGACCATCTGTTTTAGCATGTGATCCAAAGAGAGCTGCTTTGACTGCTTCTTTAAGTTGGACATTAATTGTTTTTTACAATACCTCTCCCAGTTTTGGACCCCCTGCATAACTTGAGACACAAGTGTTACTACCTTCAACGTAAAATATAAAAAAGAAACTGCTGAGGATTTTCAAGAGAGCAAAGTTTTCATGTATTTCATTAGCAAACTGAAATACCCAACCAGTCAGAAAAGCAAGATCTCTTTCAAAGACCACCTCTTCAAGATGAAGCTAGTAATCTAGCAACATTAGATCAAAACAGAAAAGCTTCATCTCCATATTTTGGTTTGGAATTTAGATATCTCAGGGCCAAGGAAGGAATTTTTCCCTCCTAGGCTCAGTTAAAACTCCTATTAGTGCATTTGTACAGTTCTGTAGTACTTATGCAGTGTTTGCATCTCATTTTCACAGAAGTGCCTCACGTACAGCTGCTGTAGGGAACAACCTTTAAGTCCATTTTTCTGTTTCACATTTTCAAGCTTGACACTGTGTTTGCCTGCTCTATCATGCTTCTTTTAAAAAGATATCTGTAGTTCTAGTCTGAATTATGGATAGGGTAAATGCTTAAGAAACTCTCTTCTCTATGGTCAAATCCTTTCACATGACTAGAAGAAGTTCACATTAAATTAAGGGCGTTTATAGTTAAAGTTTATACCAAGTAAGTACCACGCAAAAGCAATTTGCAGGCTTCAATTGTTACAGCTGTACGTAGGAGACATGATGATTACGATGAAATTATGCCCACTTGTGGAAGATGATAATAAGAGCCTGGCAATAAAAGGTCACTGCATTCCCCAGGCACGGAACTTCTTTAGTCAGAGAAAAAGATGATTTACAGTAGGCTAACATGCTACCAAACGTCTCCTGAAAGCAACCTGCATTCTCCATGCTATGTAACACCATTTCCAAAATATAAGCAAGATGCAACAATCAATTATCACACGGCAACTCCTTCCCGGCTGCTCACGAAGCTGTTTGCACAAGGAGCTCCCGCAGTGCTGCCATCGCTTTTTAGCAGCGCCATCATGTGGCTTAAGAACACATCACAAAACGACCATATAAAACAATTTCCACTCCAATAGCTCGGAAAGATGTAATTTCTCAGATACATTTATAGACTTCAAAGGCTCTGCAACACATCTAGAGTATCATCTTCTTCTTCATAAAATGCAATGTTACAAATGTATCAAGATAGAAATGGGAACATGCCAACAGTTCATTAGGGACCAACCATGAAATGAAAAAATTATCCCCATCACATGGCTAATGGCATCTCAAGAGCAAAATGATTTTGGAAGAGGCTGCTACTTAGAGGAAGCTCACACAGGAATAAAGATAAACTGGAGATGGCTGTAGGTGTAATAGAGGGAATCCGATGAGCAGTTATCGTTTGCTGTAAGCGACAAGCCAACCCAGAGCGTAGTGTTGATTATGCACTGAGCTAGGGGAAGCGCTGCCTTTCAGATGAGATGTTAAACAGAATTCTGACTACTTGGGAACTACAAAACCACCGCCAAGTTCCGGAAGAGTAAATTGTTAACACATGTCTTGGCCAAATTCCAGCTTCCATAATTCATAAATTCTTTCTCAAACTGCCTATGCAGGGATTAATTGGATATGGTATACCTCACTGCTGTGTTGTATTGATGGCTGCTGGCAAAACAGCTACCACAATTTGCTCACCAGTTGTTGGTTTTCAAAACTGGGTATCAATTTGGTATAGCAGCAAAGAGCTGTACCACTATACAGCAAGCAGCTGTACTAGTACTACATTAAAGTTATTACCTCCATAAGAAAATACAAACAGCAATTCAGTTATCTGTTCATATCTAACGCTGAATGCATTTATGAAGTATGTGAAATTAACAGGCATAAATACGAAGCTTCAGAGATAAATCAGATTAGCCCACTAGACTTGTGGGCTAGAATTAGTTTGAATTTGTTGGTTTTCTTTTTTTCATCTGCTTCACAAGTTTTTTACCTGGCAATTTTTAGACTGAATGCAGTAACTCCCCAGCTTGTTGGATGTGGACACTGTAAGCAGTCAGTAAACGGTGCTTTTTTTCCTAGCTATTAAGCAGCATTAAAAATGAGGTGAAAATATAGTTTTGTATTTTCCCAGGTTTGTATTTTCATGGAATTTATTGTTGTAGTTGCCAAAAATAAATGATTGATGTGTGTTCCATGTAAGTGAGAAGAAGAATACATAGCCCACAAGACAAACCTGGTACAAAAATATTGTCCATACTGTGAAACAGTTTGAAAATCTCTGACTTACCATAGACCACCGGATAAACAGTCCCTCGGATTCCTGAAGCTGGACAATGCATGTTCTTCCCATTTAAATATACATTTAATTCTACATGGTCATATGTAATGCCCTACAAAGTGCAGGAAGTTAACAAAAAAGCATCAACAAGTTTATACACATAAGATTGCTACTTAATTTAGCTTTCTTAGCCACAGGCAAATTTTAACACCATTATAAAAGTCACAGCATCCTAGAAAACCTCACTTGAAATATTCCTGCGAAGTACTAGAAGTTAATAAATGACCAGTAACATTTGTATTTTCAAATACTCAGGATTCCTGAACGCACATTCAATTTGGATACAGCACTGTACTGCACACCCCATCTTACTAAGTTTACAAAACAAATTTCCAAACTGTTCTTCACTATGTTGAAGAAACACAAAATTTTCAATTATTTTTAATATTAAGCAGTTTGCAGTCTTCTTGTTTATATGTCCTCATGGAAATAACTTTAACAAATAGCAATGCTATGAATTAAGTTTATCTGTCCATACTTCCATACGGAAACCTCTCTCAGCTCATTTACTCTGCCAGTGGCAACAGAGCATGGTTTCGTACCCAATGCTATAAATATGCTGACTACAGAGCAGAAAACAAACACTAACAAGGTAATAAATTACTTACTTGTTAGCTAAATTATTTTTCTCACTGTTTTGGTATGGCTGAGTGTGACAATTTGTGTTGTCATTCAGTACTTCAGAAATCTATTTTTGTGACAGAACAAAATAAATTGAAATTTATGAAAATTGGGGAGTTAGCAGTAACACATCAGCTACGTTTTTGTGATTGGTTGAAGCTGTTCAGGCTACATAGGTTGACCAAACCCTGGAACAGTCTGCAACCCTCAAAAAAAAAAAGCTATTTCAGAGGGGATTAAAAGAATAATATAGTATCTGAGTGTAAAGGATGGAGGTACAAACCTTAGCTGTTTGGGGCTTCTAAAGACAAAATTTCTAACCATTGCTATACAGAGGCAAGGTTACCCCGCAAGAAAAAGTAGTGGTGATAAATGGTCTAAATTTTATTGCAATGCTCCCACACATTTTAGAAAATAAACCTCTAACAGGACAGTGAGAAAATGACAGCAACAAAACACAACCCTTTGACCAAAGTCACTTAAAGATGTTTTGAGAAACCTGGAATAGTGAGGTATAAAAAAATCTTAAGATTCTCCATTTGCTCTCATTCTTCATCTTCCCAGTGAGCACTACCCCCTCCCCAAACTGAGTAAGTTTGGATAACAATACAATTCATTTATCATCCAGGACCTATCTCTGCTCAGCTCTGTCCTTCTAATCATTAACCAGTTAGCTATGGGATCTTGGGTTCAGCTGGGCATGGTGCATAGCTATGTAATGCATTCCAGGACATTATTTGTTCAGGAAGGTCCCATCTCAAACAACACAAGATCCTTGTGATGGGAGTTATCCATCAGGTACCTACTGCAACCAGACTGCAACACAGCATTAGAGGCTACTTTTCAAACACTGGTAAACTCTGTCCCTCATTCAGCATATCAGTGCTGAGAATGAAGTCCACTGATATCCAGGCTGCTGATCCGTTCAAACACAGCAGGAGTTTCTATCAGCACTTTCCAAACTGGGAAATGCAAGCCGAACAATTTGACTGAAATGGTCAGTCTGACCACAGAGCTGTAAATAAAAGGGATCTGGGAACAACTGGGGAAGTAAAGAAGCCTTAAGAAACTCACCACCACATCACCCTCCTGAGGAAGGTTGTTTGCTGGTAGTCTATTTTTCTCCTCATTGTTATAGTACAGTGCACCATCATTTCTCATCACCAGGCTATGGACATCTCGACCAAGCGGAATTTGATTCAAGTTTGCTTTCTGGGTTGCAACTCCAATACCCCAAATCCCTAAAACGTGACATTAACATGATAAGAAAAAAAAAAAAAACAACAAACCACCACATTCTTTTTAAGACTGACTGAAGCTGCACAGCATAAAGAATGTGTTTTTAACTAATGCCATGGCGGTACTTCTGGTATGTATCTCTTGGAAATACCAGGACTATTGTGGGTTAGCCCTGGTAGGCAGCTAAGCACCACCCAGCCACTCACTTGCTTCCCCCCACAGGCCCCAGTAGGGGAGAGGAAGAGGAAAGGAAGAGTAAAACCAAGAAAACTTGTGGGTAAAAATAAAAATTGTTTAATAAGCAAAGGCGAAGTGGAAGAAAGAAAGAAAAAACGAAACAAAGTGATGCAATGGCAATCTCACCACCTCCCACGGGTAGACTGATACCCAGCCAACTCCCAAGCAAAGGATGGCTACCGTCCCTAAATCCCCTCCTCTCCCTTTTGTTGCTGAGCATGACATTATGTGGCATGGAATATCTTTTCAGTTAGTTCAGGGCATCCGCCTGGTTGTGTCCCCTCCCAACCTCACAACCCTCAACTGTGCACCCCCCAATCTTATTCACTGGAGGGGCAGAGTGAGAATCAGAGGCAGCCTTGATGCTGTGCAAACACTGCTCAGCAATAGCTAAAACATTACTGTGTTATCAGTATTGGTTTGGTCACAAATCTAAAACACAGCACCATGGGAGCTGCTATGAAGAAAATTAACTCCATCCCAGCCAGGGCCAGTACAAGCAGTCACAAGAGACTGAAGATAAACAGCATCTACCCTGAAAAAGAAGGATTCAGAGAATTGTAACCACTTAGCTTAACTTTTATTCCCAGAAAAGTATTGAAAACAAACTCTGAGGCTGTAGGAGAATATAAAAAAATAAATCCAACTAGCATGGATCTGTGAAAAACACAAGTTTCCTTTTTCAGCTGGTTAGACTAGTCATAGGGAAAAAAGAAGAAATTGTAAATGCAATAGATCTTGATTTGGTAATGTTTTTGAAACTCATACAACATTGAAATAGTCAAATAACCAACATATGGTCTAGACAGTTACAGCAATATGAATGCACAACTGGTTAGAAAACTTTATTCCAGGACTACTCAGCAGCAGCACCCTGTCAAATCAAAAAAGATGACTCAAGTGGGGTTTGAGGTTTTGTATTGAATGCATGAGGTCAGATACTGTTCTGTATTCACATTGATGACTTGGATAATGAGACAATGTGCTTATTAAATGTGCTGCCAATACCAACCTGACGGGACTGCAAGCTCTTCAGAGGCCCCTCAAGTTTAAATTATCCTGACAAATCGGTTAAGAGGTCTGAAATAAGGAAAATGCATTTGCTTTTCCTGAATTACGAAGAACAGCAGGTAAGTAGGAATAGTAACTGGCACAAATACAACAGTGGCTTGGCAACCAGTTCATAGAATATAACTTGGGGATTATCACAGACTACATACTGAGCGTTGAGTCTGCACCCTACTGTTGTGAAAAACTTCTGGATGTATGGCATATATAAAGCAGACATATTGTATGTACAGCAGATGAAGGACTGCTTCTGCTGCAGCTGGAGCAGAGTATCCATTTTAAGCATCATACCTCGAGACAAATTAGGTCAATTAGAGATATTCTAGAAGAAAAAACAAAAACAACCAAAAGTGTAAAACCATCATCTATAAGGAGATAATGAAAAAAAAAAAAAACCTGGGACCGCTTAATCTACAGAAGACTAAAATGAGGCAAAAATACAAGAAAATTAGTTTCAAAAGACAAAACTGCAGAACAATTTATTCTAATATTCATACGCCCAGAAAGAAAAGGACATGAATGTGGACAAGATTCAGATTAGACTTCAGAAAACTTTCTGATAGTCAGGGTGACCCCACAGATGACCCCTAATAGATTGCACAGGGACACTTCTGGGAATCAAAGTTTTAAGTTAAGTGATCTACAATTCTCCTGCCTTGGTGCACAAGAATAGACAAGACATGGCTCATAGGGACCAGGCGAGTTTATTTCTTGTTTTTCTCGCATATAAGAGCATGGATACGGTGTCTTTGTGAATAATGACCATATATGAACAACAGCTGCAGTGGATTCTTCCCCCAACAGACAGGATACTAAAATTGCCAAGTTACGACTGATCTGGGGTTTACATGTAGTTTAAAACTAAACAACCAGTTTGACTGCACGGTGTTTTGGACAGATTTCTGTTCACACTGCCTGCACCCCAATCCAACTGAATGCAAACAACCCTTACCCAAAAACCGCCGGGTTCAAGCTCCAGCTGGCATCGTAAGGCCTGTCTCTGGACTAACACTTCCCTTCTTCTTCCCTCCCCCTACACGCTTAGGGAAAGAACAGCTTCATTTTCACAGTGTCTGTTGTTTTTAAAATACAGGCTGATTTTTAATGTTAGAATAGAGGCAAGCCTGGAGTGCAGTCTGTACTAGTGAAGCTGACCGTATTAAAAAGCATAATGCTTCCAAATTTCACTCATTTTCAGCTGCCTTGCATTAGATCTGTGCCAAACAAACAAAGAAACAGGGTGCTGAAAGGCTCCTCTTGATAAGGCAGTGTCAGAATAAGTGCTGCACATTTGATTTGAAGAGCAAAGTGTAGCACAAGGAGTGTTACCCTTGCCTGGGCAAGGCAGTGCATGTTAAAAGCAAATTAAGGTAGACAAATAGGTACAAATGTTGCTGGATAAACTGCACTATTTGAAAAAAAAAACCCAAAACTTCATAGCTACAGTGTTTTATGTGGTCATAAGCATTTATTTACCAAAAAACATTTCTAAAATACGCTAACTGAAAAACATGCATAACAGCATACAAAACAATATGGTGTTTTAGTATTTGCACTCCTTTATTATATACTCACCATTCTTTTTGATATTTCACAGCCACAATTAAAAAAAAAGAGAAAATGAAATTTCCTTTTACACAATGACAACTTATAAAACTCTCCAATGTTCACAAGTTCAAGGATGCAATTAGAAAGATGCATGTGCTCAGTATTTGAGATGTGACCACCAGCAGGCAATCTGACATACCTTCCACATTTAAAGTTGTACATTTTTTGCTGACTAACCTGTTGACTGGATTTTAAATTCAAAATAGCTCTTGTTCTGATGCAAAGGTGCATTGGCTAAGCAGCCTCCTGTGCCACATATTCTTCTGCCATTTTTAACAATGACGACATCTGTTCCTGCAAGAAGAAAAAAACCCGCAAAACTTCAAAATGTTTTTAGAAGGCTGGAAGCAGCCCTTAAAAACCCTAAACATTAAGGGCAGGGCTTTTTAAAGAATTTTCTGCCCCAAGTAAGAGCTTCATTAGTCTGTGAGAATTATGATGACGGGCCATGCTTTGAAGTAAGAAAAGGAAGGCTGCTTACAGGCTAGTTCATCTTTCAACTAAGGTTTATTTATTTAAAATTTATACGCTGCTCTAATTTTGCCTCTTGGGTTTTACGGCACCATGCCGATTACAACCTTTGCTCAGCCACATCAGAAGCATAACTTACAATCTAGTCACAAAGGGTTCACTGTGAGACCAAAGCCCTGTACCCTGTCTCCATATATAGGAGAAAAAAATTTTGGCAAGGAGAAGGCACATCGGGTAGAAACGTTTGATGGAATTAAAACGTGTTTTTTTTCTCT